TGCTTTTGAATAAAACACTTTTTAAAGTTTTATTTCTTTGTTGTTGTTTTGTTTTTTTAATTTACAAAACACGTCCTTTGTTTGCAAGAGTGAAAAACTCACTCCGTATAAGAACAGGTAGCTCCTGACACTGGGAATAATAATGGCGGTCAGCCTTGAATGGCAGCTCTGATGCATTGTGACTTATTACAATAGAATCTTTCTGGCTTCATCATAAAAACGTGGATTAAAAAGATCAAATCAGTCTAATTAAAAACTGAGCTAACTGCTGGTTTCCTCCCCTTTAGCCCAGGCTGGTGTACTGTGATGATGTGCAGGATATCGAGGAGTTCTCCACGCTGAGGGGAGTCGTTCTAAACCAGACGGACAGTGAGTTCTACGCCAAATTCAACACAGGAAGCGTGCCACGGAGTTGGCAAAACGAGGTGATTATAATCAGTGCCTTTTATCTTGCTTTCAGCTTCTCCAATCTGAACCTGTGCTCCTCTCTTTAATCGCAGCTCATAGAGACGGGATGTTTCGAGGAACTGAATGTTTTCGGTCCAAAGGGATCTCGACCTGCAGACCTGGACTGGTCCATGGCCCCTGAAAGCCCCAAACGCGGTTTGCTGCATCGAATTTTCCGCAGACGCGTAAGAGCACGATCCAATCAGGGAAATTATGAATTGATATCATGACAGAAAGTGTCTGATTCCATCGTCTCCTCCAGCAGCATCCCTCAGACTCATTAGAGGATGTCAAACAGAGCCAGCCGTCCAACTGAGGGGATCCGTTCCTCTCCAACTCCTGAAGCTCCAAAGCAGTTTGTGTCTGTAGCTACAGCTGCAGCACAGTAGCACTTATGAAATGCCATAATCAGTTGTGTCTTTAAATAAACTGTGTTTTTTAATCCAGTCGTTTCATTTTTGTTTATAACATGCATTTTAAAAGGCAATGCGAGTTTATTTATAAGTACAGAGAAATTTCAACATGCTTTACATCAATTAAACAATAAAAAAGAAGGTAAGTAAAAACAGGTAGTAAAACAAAACAGGTAGATCACAACCTTAAACTAATAAAACCTCAGTTAACAGTTTAACTTCAGCAGCTAAAACCAGCTCTAAATGTCTTTTGACTTAAATAAAATAAAAATAAAAAATCAGGCTTTGAGCTCTTTTTCAGATTTCTGGGAGTTTGTTCCAGATCAGTGGATCATAGGAACTAAATGCTGCTTCTCTATGTTTGGTTCTAGTTCTGGGTGTACAGAGTAGACTGGAACTAGAAGCCCTGAGTGATCTGGGAGGTTGATCCACTGACAACACATCTGTTATGTATTGAGTTGCTGATCTGTTTAGTGATTTATTAACTAACAGAAGGATTTTAAAGTTTATTCTCTGAGCTACAGGGAGCCAGGGGAAGGACTTCAGAAACAGGCGGATGTGCTCTACTTTCCTGGTTCTAGTGAGAACACGGGCAGCAGAGCTTTGGATCAGCTGCAGCTTTCTGATGGACTTTTTAAGACAAACCTACGAAGACACTGTTGCAGTGATCAATTCTATTGAAGATAAATGCATGAATGAGTTTTTCTAGATCCTTTCTGAACATTTGTTGTTTAATCCTGGAAATGTTCTTAAGGTGATAAAAGGCTGACTTACTGCTTTTATGAGCCTCTGAAATGCATATAAAGTCTCTTATTGTAACTGTAGGCTTGATCAGTAATCATCTCATCTAAAAAGAAACAAAATGAAATTAAAATTTAATATTTGTTTAATTTTTTCCCCCCTTTCTTTAATAGATATTGGTTTGAAGTTCAAAATCCAGTTAATCCAAATTTGCTTAACTGGATGAGTGGATTTGATGAAAGATTTTCTCAGATTTAATTTTTTTATTTCCATATTTAATTTTTAAGTTACTTTTGTTTTAAGATATTTTTTTACTTCTCGTTTTCGGATTAAGTTTTGCAAATTGCCTTCTAAAATTAGGTTTTACAGATCACATTCTTTTTATTTTTGGAGGGCGGGGCTTTGCTCTGGACTGAGGAGTGAAGCTGCATTTCTATTGGTCTGCTGGACCTTAGCAACAAAATTTTTAATTAGGTTTACATCGAGAATGAGCCTTGATTGGGCTATTGGGCTTGAAGTACAGAATGTGGTCTGAGAAACAGTTTGAAAAGAATGCAAATTGAAATTTGAAAATATAAAATCGTTAAAAAAATAAAATGAATAAAATAAAGGAAAAAAATTGGAAAAAATATCACATAAAAAATATAAAGTAAAAGAAAGAAATGTGTTTGAAATGTTAAATATAAAATGTGTAGTTTAGAATAAAGTTTGAAAAAATAAAATCTGAGAAAACAGCAACTATTCTCAAATCTTTTTCTTTTTGATAAGGAAGATTTTCAGTTTCAATCCTGGATCACATTTTTATAATATATATAATTTCCACTTAATAAAACATAACCCTTTGTTTGTTGCAACAAAAATGGAACAAAAATCTCCCCATATATTTCATCAGAGCAGATTGGCTTCTGGTGCTGGAAAGTTTAAAAGTCTAACTGGAATTTGCAGATTAGTGACCTTTTATTCAAGTTTAGATCATTTTAAACTTTTATTGGAAACATTACGTTTCTGAGAGGGGGTTAAACTGCACCATTCAATACAAAAAAAATGGCTTCTACAAGAAAAAAAAAAATGTATAAATCAGCAATTAAAAGTTCAAAGAGCATGTAAGGTTATCCATCCGTGGTGGAAGATAATCTCATTTGCCAAATTCACACAAAAACTGATCTAAATTTAAGTGAACGTTCTTTAATTATATACTTAATTTCTTTTCACACCCCCAACATGAACTGTTCTCCCTGCTGCCCTCTGGAAACACACCTGGAGGCATCCGATGCAGGTCCAACAGATTCCACAACAGTTTTTTCCCCTATTGCCATTAGACTGCTGAATGTTATATAAAATGGTTTATAAAAAAAAAAATAAAAATCTGAAAAGTTGGAACTGTAACTATACAGTCATATGTTTACATCACTTTTTTTCATCACAATGTTTTTATCACTGCTGCTTACCTGCACTTTAAAACACTAAATAGTCTAGAGCTGTACTTAATGGAATTTATTTTTTGTTTACACTACAAAAAGACAAAATCATTTTAAGTCTAAGTCTTTAAAATAAGTGGATTTGCCTTTAATCTGATCAGGTAGATAATCTCCCAATTAAATTAGTTTGTTTGCCCTTAAAATAAAATGTTTATTTATTTTATTTTAAATGTAAGTAATTTTCTATTGGAAAATACACCTACTTTAGGAAACATGTTCTCATATTTACAGAACAAAGTTTGACACAATAATTGGAAACCGTCTATAATTTGCCTATAAAGGAATTAAAAATGTTAATCTGATTAATTAGACTCTATAGTCGTTGTTATCCGATTCTTCGGCAGGAAATGATTTTATTTAAACACGCCGTGTTTAATTCCAGCAAAGATGAAAAGTTTAGCATTCTTTTAAATGGGATGCTTATCTCACACAACTTGTGCTCCTATAAATAACTCACTCTGTGGTTATTGCAGGAAGGGAGGCTGTAGTGATTACAAGTCCTGTGATTTCTAGTTTACAGCCTCAGACTTTGCTGCATCTAGCGCCATCACAGGGAAGCAGTTAGAACTGCACTTAATGAGACTGAAACCTTCAGCTAAGCTACTTCTAGCTTTTCTTAAAGGAAAAGTCCGGT